ATTTTTGTCTGTCTGTCTGTCTGTGTCTGTCTGTCTGGGAAAGCATCACGAGAAAGCCACTGGACAGATTTGATAAAATTTGGTATGAAGCTGGTTATCCGACAACATATAGGATACTTTTTACTGCGGGAAAATATATCATATCTGATAAATCTATACTAACCGTTAAGACGTACAAAGGGACGAACCCGAGCGGAGCGAGGGTGAATCGCTAGTATTTTATATACCTCTTATATGTAACATTTAAACCTAATCACCATTTAATTTGCTTCTATTTCATTACATTGCGAGAATTATGAACGGAAACATTTTTATTAGTTAGCTTTACCACGCGTTGCATACTAATGCGATCATAGCATTCATTAAACGGGTTTTTGTCGTTAACAGCACGTAAAGCCGTAACTGCGATGTAACGAATCTTGTAACCAATCGCAAGCTATGACTTTGCCATATTATCCTAAAAAGGCTAAATATTATCTGAAAACTTATAATAAATAATTTAATCTTCTTTTGTTAGTGCATCGCAAAAGTACCCATTATATTATACTAACATTGCCCGCGGCTCCGCCCGCATTCAGATGACCAAAAACCAAATTCTTTGGTTTTACAAATTAGTATACTCTTACAATGCAGTTTTTGTATTTTTTTCTCAGAAATGAGATATTTTCCCGTGGTAAGAAGTATCCTATATGTTGACCCGGATAACCAGCTATCGTCATAACAAATTTCATCAAAATCTGTCCATTGGTTTTCTCGTGATGCGGTAACAGACAGACAGAGAGACAAAAATTCTAAAAACTATAGATTCGGACTGTGTATTGATAATGTCTATTTCAATTAGATTTTTCAATAAATATTTAATGTACAGATTCGACTTGGTTACAATTTTTTTATTTGTTAGAATTTTAAGTACCTAAATCTTATGTTTTAGGATAAGGCCTTTTTCATATTTTTATACTTAGATTAGACCGTTAATAAATATGTACTCACATATATTAATATATTAACTTTCTCTGTAGATAAGCTCTAAAATGTGAAGAAAACTTAAATGAAAATTAATTCTATCCAAAAGCACGTTCGAGCAAATAATATAAAAAAGTTCTTAAGCTAAGCTTTTTTAATATTAGTTTAATGTGTGCTAAAATTTTCCCAAGTAAGTGCCTACTAATCAGTTAATTGTACAATTTTTTCATGTAATTCGTAGCATTAATATCTATGAACAGTATTTCTGTGGAGCTAAATAGGTGAATTATACAGTATAGGTGGAAATTGCCTATTCAACAGTGGGGAATAATGAATGAAGGTTTTGCGTGATCTCGCCGACATGGGCATCTTTACCCTCTTCTGGTTGAAGAGCGTATTGTTTGAGAACACTACAGTATACCTACACACAACCGTTTCTTTATAATGCCTAAATTGTTTATGTTACGAACATATATGAAGTAAATAAGTTAGTGTACTCGAATAACATTTATACGATGTTAAAATTCTTATTTTACTTGTATTGAAAAATCTTGGACGTTGATTTTATCCTAATTTTAGTGGTATCGATTTGAAGTTTTAATATTACTTTGTTACCATCGATAGTCGATCAATGCTGATGATGAAGTCGATACATCATCTGGAAACTCTTCAATGGCTACGAGAAAAGCCTTCTAGATCTGGCTCGTTCGATACCTTTTCATGAGTCTCTTTCTATGATGCTCAGTCATTATAACAGCTTATTGTCATGACTGACTTATTTTGTTAAAACTATAATTATTAACCTTTTGTCTTTTTTGTTTTTATTATCTTTAGGTAGTTCTTCTGAAGACTGAGACTTGTTCTTTCCGAACTGGCAGACTTATGAATGCTAATTAAAAAAAAAAAATTGAATTTGAATTTAGGAGTAAACTCAATGGTAAAAATAAAAGAAATGATAAAAACGTAACAACCATTGATTAAAACAATACATAAAATGTAAGAAATATCTTGAATGTAAATATTTACGGCGCCTATTTACGTGTTACTCTACAGTCTACACAGTTACGAACGGTGTAATAAGTTGGTACAGCATGTTCAAAAATAGGAAAGTGGAGTTACTCATAATACGAGTGTTTATGCTACTTTCAATGACGCAGTGGAAAAATAAAAGTAATAAAACGTTTGATTGTGAAATTTTAATATTAAGGATGAATAATCAGTTTACAACAACAAAAAAGATAAATAGACTCATAACCTAACTATTACACAGACAAATATATATATATATATATATATATATATATATATATATATATATATAGACAGACAGACAAATATATATATATAAAGAACTATAGATTTATAGTATAAAGATGAATAAAATATATTGTTCATTGTCTGGTGTATCACTCACTCTATCTATTCCTTAGAGGATTTGGAGAAACATTAGTTTCTAGTCAACGATACGGAGTATGTCAAACATTGATTTATTGTATTGCAGTCTATTTATCAACGTAGCTACAAACCATGAAAAGATAAGAAGTTTATAGGTTAACTAGCAACTCACGCTCGCTCCGCTCGTGTTCGTTCCTAGTTACGTTTTAACATTTAGTATAGATTTCTCAGAGATGAGATATTTTCCCGCAGTAAAAAGTATTCTTTATGTTGACCCGGATAATATGCTACAATCATACCAAATTTCATCAAAATCCCTCCAGTGGTTTTTCTGTGAAGCGGTAACAGGCAGACAGACAGACAGACAGACAAAATTTTTAAAAACTACTGATTCGGCCTCTTGTCTGTGGTATAAGTATACTGTTTTAGTGAATGATATAAGTCCTACCTATAAGTAAAATATATAGTTGATAGGGTTAACTATATAAAAATATTCTTTTAAATTTAAGTTATCGTTTTGATTTTTTTTTGTTTAGTAGCTATTGACAAGCTTTAGTGTTATCAATAAAAAAATTACAATGGTAGAACTTTTGACTACTGGATGAAAACTAGTTTAATTAAATTTTAATACTATTAGAAAATACACAAATTTTAATATTATTGAAAAATTTTAATTTTTTTTTTATTACCTATATATATATGATGATGATGTTTTCCTAGCCGATTCCGGCCACGGCGGCCAATCTCATTGAGATTAGCCAACTGCGCAGGAGATATTATAGTGCAGCGCGTGTACGCGCAGACACAAGTGCACTCTCTATTCCTGTCACTCTCATACTCCTATGGGACGACTGCTCGATACGACCAGTAAGAGTTAAGGCGCAGGACCGACGGCTTTACGTGCTCTCCGAGGCATGGGGGTGAAGCACCGCCAACTTCCCAACTCCGGGCTGTTACTGAGACTTACTATATAGCAAGACTCAATAACTAAACTTGGCCTGACCCGGGACTCGAACCCAGGACCTCCGAGTGTGCAGCCATACATCCTAGCCACTACACCACCGAGGCAGTTAAACTAACTACCTCACATATAACTAATTATAATCAACATATAGGTACAATTGATACATTATTTAACAAGAAATTCACTTAATTTTAAATGTTTATTTGTTTATTGCTTACTTATGTTTGATTTGTTAAAGCGTATGAATAATTAATTAATTACCGCAAACAGCAAACAGATTAATTGCTGTATCTAATTTGCTCATTGATCTTGCGATTGAGGGAGACAGGATTTCATTGTCATATACAAATTAAACTACATCTTATACGTAGTATTAGTAACTTATATACATAATAATACATTATCTATACATAATAAGACAGAAAAGCGAAATCGATATGCGCGTTTCACGCAAAAAGTACTGAACCGATTTTAAAATTTTTGGGTGGTGATAACTTATTAGTCGGGTCTTTTTTTTTATACTATTCAGAATTAGTGCTTGACTACGTTCCACCTGATGGTAAGTGGTAACGCAGTCGTAAATGGTAAGTCGCACTAATTCAGTAGCCACCTATTCACTCTTGCCTTGAAGACACCCATATTATAATCGGACGGAAACACCGACGCAGGCAGGTTGTTCCAATCCTTAGCCGTACGTATAATAAATGACGTAGCGAAACGCTTCGTGCGGACGGGTGGGATGTCCACGACATAAGGATGGAGACCAGCCGTTCGTCGGGTTGTCCGATGATAGAAAGGGGAACGGGTCACTATTTAAGATACCTTTTACTACAGGAAAATCTTTCGTTCCTATAGGAAAACACAATAACTGGTTCTACCGAGTGGTTCTTAGAAATGTACTTATCTAACGCTGGCTAAAACTTAAGAGATATATCAAAACAATGACTACTGAATCGTAGGTACAGAAAAATCTGCAATAGCATAAGTCGTTCTCTCTTAAGGTACCTGCACTCGCAATAACTATTCGTATCTATTAAATGTGATGATGAGGTTCTCCTAGCCGATTCCGGCTACGGCGGCCAATCTAAAGACTAGCCAACTGCGCAGGAGATATTATAATGCACAAGTGTACGCGCAGACACAAGTGCACTCTCTATTCCTGTCACTCTCATAATCCGGTGGGACGACCACTCGACACGACCAGTGAGAGTTAAGGCGTTTTGTTAGGCGAGTATTAAACGTTGTAATATAAAAAAAAATGTTAAAATATCTTTGTTTCTAAGTATATGTGTTTATTTGTTCGCATATCATCTAATAAAATGTAATTTAACTATATTTTATTTATTGTAGATATCTATAATAAAGACCTTAAATTAAAAAAGTCTAGCCATTCTCGAGTTATGCATGTTTGGATTGACAAATAAATTTTATTAGTGTTTCTATTGAATAAAGAAATCGACTTTTGTATATACCTTCCATAGAATAAATTTCTGTGAATTAGAATGTGAGAAAACTGATGTTCAAGGTTTACTTTTGAGGATCCAGGAGATAATTTTCATGAAAAACATTAACTTTGGGAAGAAAGTAAAATTGTGTGGAGAAGTTGTTTATGATTGGTTGTTATATTTTGTCACGGAGTGGGTGTCTGAGATGTCCGTTTTTAAAAACTTATTTAAACATGGCCACACAAGTTAACATCATACAATGGAATTGTCAAAGTATTCATCCGAAGATAGTGGAGTTTGAACAGTTTTTATCACAGGAAAAAATTCATATTGCTATTTTGAGCGAGACATGGCTTGATCCAAACAAGAGCATAAGGATAAGTGGCTATCATATTGTTCGTCAGGATCGCGGCGATGGATACGGTGGGGTGGCCATTGTTATTCATAACTCAATAATGTTTCAGGCACGTCAGATACAGTGTGCAAATCCAGGGATTCAACTCGTTGAAATTAAACTATTGAACTGTTCTAATTTAGAGTTCATTATTTCTGTATACTGCCCATCATCTGTGCATACAGTAGCTAATGATTGGGACTCAGTGTTTAGTTTACATAATAATAAAACTATTATTGCTGGGGATTTTAATGGTCACCACTCTAACTGGTCGTACAAAACAGATGTAAGAGGAACGCAGCTGTTTGATACGATTGTTGACAAAGATTATGTTAACCTGAATGATGGCTCTACAACTCGGCTTAAGTTAGTCAATGGTAATGTTCAAAAATCTTCCCCGGATGTTACCTTCGTAACTAATGACATTGCGTTGGATTTCATTTGGAAGGTTCTTAATGAATCTTTAGGAAGTGACCACCTTATTATTAAATTTACAACCGCTAATTGCTGTGCGACTGACGCTGATAATAAAAAAAGGAACTTCAAAAAAGCAAAGTGGGAGGAATATAGGCGCACCCTACATGCAATATTCTCTGTTTTGGTCTTGGCAAGTGATCCTCAGGAAGCTTATAACCAATTTATTAATGCAGTTAATTCGGCGGCAGATAGATATATCCCCACGGTAAGAATGTGTACAGATCCTTTACGTCTACAGAAATTTGTACCGAAACCGTACTGGAATTCAGACATATCAAGGGCAGTTGCAGAAAGAAGACTTGCGTTGGTTACTTTTAGAAAGAACCCTACGCCAAATAATTTGGATTTACTTCAAATAAAAGTCGCTTTTGCACAGAGGATTATACGCAGAGCCAAACGTAAAGCTTGGAGACAGTTTTGCAACACTATTAATGAAACCATTTCAACCGTTGAGATGCTGCGCCGAATGAGATGGATTAAGGGATATCGATTACCAAAGACATACATCGATGAGGATACAGCCAATAGATTATTACGCAGCCTGACGCCTGATTATACTTCTTCAAGAAAACCAAAATTTACTTCTGTTAATGCAACCTTGGAGAGTTCCATTACAATTCAGGAGTTTAATCGTGCTATTAAAGCCAAAGATACGGCCCCAGGTGACGATTCTGTATCCTTTTCTATGTTGAAACACCTCCCGGTGAATGGAAAGCATATATTAGTCAAGATTTATAACATGTTTCTTGTATCGGGATTTGTACCATTTCAATGGAGACAAGCTAAAATTGTTCCCATACCAAAAGCAAGCTCCTCTACACAATCTATTCCTGAAGTAAGACCTATAGCTCTCTTATCGTGTCCCTGTAAAATTTTTCACACTATCTTAAAAAATCGATTGGAATGGTACTTAGAATATAATGATAGCTTTTCGAAAAATACTGTAGGTTTTAGAAGAGGTCGTTCATGTCTAGATAGTCTTACTAGATTAGTGTCTCAAATTCAATTGGGGTTTGCTAATAATTTAATAACCTTAGGCTGTTTTGTGGATATTGACAGCGCCTATAACAATGTTGATATAATAGTGTTACTAAATGCGTTGGATAGGCTTGGGATAGGGTCTAAGTTCTGTTATTACTTATGGGAGTTTTTGAGTGCTAGAAAATTAAGTATAAATTACTCAGTTTCCGGTAGCCTTACCAGATCAACAAATCGTGGACTTGCACAAGGAGACCCTTTATCTCCAATCTTATTCAATGTACTTACTAGGGATATTTGCCATGATATTGTTAACACACATATTTCTCAATACGCTGATGATTTCGTATTATACGGATCATATAAGTATATAGGAGAGGGATGTGTACAGTTGCAGTTAGCTCTTAATAAATTGTGTGAACTGGTTGAAGGTCTTGGCTTAGAGATATCTGAAAGAAAAACTAAAATATGTTTGTTTCGGAAAGGGATTAATAGACAGGAAGTAAACATCAACTTAAAAGGAACTCGAATTCAATTAGTAGAAAGTGTTAAGTATTTAGGGGTTTGGTTAGATAGGTCTTTAAAATGGGGGAAGCATATAAACGAAATTACTGACAGGACTCAAAAATATTTGAATATTCTTAAAATATTAGCTGGCACTGACTGGGGCTTACATCCTAAACATTTAAGGAGATTATATATTTCGGTTATACGTAGTAGAATGGACTATGCAAGCTTTATATATGATACAAGTGTTAAATCCCATCTTTATAAACTTGATAAGGTTCAAAATCAGTGTATGCGTGTGATTGGGGGGTTCATCAAGAGTACCCCAATACACGTAATGGAAAGTGAGCTAGCCCTTCAACCACTTCACATTCGTAGAATTTACCTAGGAGGAAAGTATTGGTTGAAGAGTCGTGCTTTACAAGATAATGGAAATATTGATGTAATCGGTCAGCTGTCGGTACAATGCAATAATTCGAATTATTGGGCGAATAAAAAGAAACCAGTCTTAGCGTCAGTCCATGGAATATTGAAATGTTACCCTTTTCGATCTTCTAGAAAATTGGAAATGTTTTGTCTTGACACATGGGTACAAAATATTAATTTAGATAATAAGATATTTTGCTCTATAGATAACATTGGACAGTCAAAACGGTTAGTAGATGCTACGGTTTTAAAAAGCAATAGTCTGGAAATGATTAATATTGAATATAGAAATTTTTATAAAATATACACAGATGGTTCTAAATGCAAAAAAGGTATCGGAGCTGCAATTTACGACCCTCAATCTCATACTGATATCGAATTTAAAATTGAATCAATAATTTCTATTATGTATGTTGAGTTGTTTGCCTTGTATGAGGCTTTGGAGTATATCAGCAGTATTAGTAATTTCAAAAATTTTGTTATCTTTACGGACTCCAAAAGCGCGCTCCAACATATTGCTCGGTGCACCTCGACTTTTCGAGGAGCTCCGATAGCATATAAGATATTGAAGGCTATATGTAAGCTGGAAGCATCAAATAAGAGGGTAACATTTCAATGGATTCCGTCTCATATAGGATTGGCAGGTAATGAACGTGCGGATAGATTAGCGAATGACGCAGTATCAAAAGGTATACCACTCAGCGTGTTACCTTCTATTAATGACATCGTAGTATTGCTTAAAAAATATGTATATAAGTTGTGGACCGCACACTTTCAAAATACATCGGTAAATAAAGGGATTTGGTATAGGATCTTGAGATCTGACCCGTATTCTTTGCCTTGGTTTGAGTCTTGTAGATTAGACAGAAATTCTATTGTGACAGGGTTAAGAGTGCGTTCCGGGCATATTCCACTGAATTATTTCGCGTTTAAGATGAATAAAGCCGTATCACCGAATTGCACTAAATGTGGGAAAACCGAAGATGTGTATCATATTTTAGTGGAATGTACTCGGAACGAACGCATGAGGAGAAATATGTTTGTTAACAATTATCACGAATTAAAACAAATTGGTAGCTGTAACATAATGTTAGCAAATCCTTGTTCAGATCATGCCAAAGCTTTGTATAAATTAACCAAGGTTGGCTTACGTGTTAGATCTAGTCAAGACGGTACATAATTATTGTTATTTGTATCTGTAATAATATTAAATTAGTATAATATTGCTATGTCCGCTAAACTAGTAGAATCTTTTCTATATTATGTATTCTTTACTCTGCGCATAATTTTATTTATAATTAAGTATTTACTCGTTATTTGTCCATGTGTAAAATTTACAAGGACGACATGTTCGCTTTTTGTTATGTGAACAAGTCCTTCAAATAAAGATTAAAAAAAAAAAAAAAAAATAAATTTTATTAGTGTTTCTATTGAATAAAGAAATCGACTTTTGTATATACCTTCCATAGAATAAATTTCTGTTTTCATACTATTCAATATGCTACAAACTAAATTTACATTTTTCACATTCTTTCTGCTACATTTATCGGGCTTCGAAACAAAAAATGGTGTAACGAGCGGCTAGCGGTTAAAGCTTCCTCCCAATAAGTGGATAATAATCAGATACCTGGTTTCGGTGTGATTTCCATCCGTTGTTTGTGGTCGGTGTCCGTAATAGTCCGAATGTCAAGCTAATTAGAATATAAAATATAAATTGATATTTATAAATAAGACAAGCAATTTACCCTAGCTTTTCTTAACATAACAATACAATATACAATACATATCTACATATATGTACGTATGAGTTACTCCAAATCATACTTTATCTGTGTACAAAATTTCATCGAAATCCGTCCAGCCGTTTCATCTTGAAGAAGAAACAAACATACACACATAACCTTCGCATTATATTAGTAGTCCGATTAAATTACAGTTAATAAAAAAAAACATTTCGTTCGTAGGTCTAGACACCTAGTTGATAGATTTTGTGTCTTGTAAACATGAGTCCTCAAGTTAGAGATTTATTGGTTTATTTTGCGGTGTTGGGAAGTTGTGCCTCGTAAAGCTAGTAAAGCCGTCATCATCCCGTTGGTTGTATTGGCATGCTGTTTCTTATGAGAAATTATGAGAAAGAAGGAATATTTTTAAAGATTTAAGATGCTTATACCTTGCACATACAGTTTGCTTTATAACTGAGAGAATTGTTGTATTTAACCTACATACCATTTTTTATGTTATATATACGTAAATGAAGGAAAATTATTTTAGCCTATTATAACCACTAACTACTTGCAATCTTAAAATAGTCATTTTATTGATAATTGTACAAATCTATACATTTAAGTATTATATTTATACGTTTAAGTACATTAAGCAAATGTTTTTATGTTTATAATTTAGTGTCAACATTTTACTATATCGTTCATCATAATCAAATGTTCAGAAAATCAAATGTTCATAAAATGAAAACTACTGGGCCAAACTATGTTAAATTTTCATGGGACCAAATGGCAACAGTTCTGCATCAAACTAAAGAAGAATCATGTAAATCGGATCATACGAGTAAATCTCAGCGTAATCGGTGTACATACATAAAAAAATACCAATCAAATTGAGAACCTCCTCCTTTTTGAAGTCGGTTAAAAATCATTTAATCAAAAAAAATCTAAATTAAATATATACGCTGATATATTTGATTTAGATTAAAGAAGCTTTAAATTATTCAACACTGATGTAATAACTATTAACGCGAATAAGACTTTTCCAATTTGTTACGGTTATTTTTATTGGAACTATAATTAAGCCACGTTCAAGCATAACTTAATGTTTATATGTTTGTTATATCTTTATTTCCAATAGGCTTTATATATAGGCATAAAAAATAAAGCCTTAATTACGTTATGCACTACAACCTACCTATATACATAATTTCATTAAATCGAAATACATTAAAATATTTTATTATTTTATTAAGTCAGTTCGCACAATTCGCGGTATGATTTATTCAGGCTCGTAAATTAAGAGAGATACCTCGGGAGCAGATGGTTGAGTTTTTGCCTGCTTTGACTATAAAACCCGTGAGAATTCAAGGGCTTTATAGTCCAAGATTTGGGAGTTAAATTTTTTTGGCTTTAAGAATACATGAAAAATGTTACAAAAAGACGTATTCATTTTATTTAATATAATATATTAATACATACTTACTAAAGTTATTACTTAGTTTTAGTGTTTTATAGTAACTCAAAATTTTAGATACGCTGTGGTTCATAAATTTGCGCAATGCTTTTTATTTGCAAATCAAGATTATATATATATATAAAATAATTTGTACTCTAATCTGTACTTAAGGTAAATGCCTCATGTAATAATAATTTTTAACAATACTTTTTCTTTGTTTTTAAGGCTCTAATCAAGGCGTGTAATGATTTTTCTTCGTATGATTAATACTTCGCAGTTATCTAGTATGTCGCACCCAGTTTTAAACAAATATCAGTATCACTAAAAAAATATCCTTTCATAACTCATGAAACTAATCAAAGTAACTTCAAAAGTATTCGAACTCAAAATAAAGATCAGTTATTTTTTAGCTATTTCATTATATATATTTTTATACATACAATGGCATTGTCCGCGGCTCCGTCCGCGTTCAGATGACCAAAAACCAAATTCTTAGGTTTTACATATTAGAATACTCTTATACTCTTGCATTTTTTTATTTTTTCTCAAAAATGAGATATTTTCCCGCGTAAGTAACCTATATGTTGATTCGGATAACCAGCTATTACCATACCAAGTGGTTTTTCTGTGATGCGATAACAGATAGACAGACAGACAGGTTTTACATATTAGTATTTAGTATATTCTTAAATTGTAGTTTTTTATTTTTTCTCAGAAATGAAACAGTTTCTCTCCGTAAAAAGTATCCTATATGCTGACCGGGATAACCAGCTATAATCATACCAAATTTCATCAAAATCCCTCCAGTGCTTTTTCCGTGATGCGGTAACAGAACAAACTATAGATTCGGCCTCTGTATCGATAATAATGTGTATTTCAATAAGATTTTCCAAAAAATATCTAATGTACAGATTCGGCTTAGTTACAATTTTATTATATGTATAGATTTATATTTACATAGATATTGTGTAAATAAAAGACGAAAAAAATGGTCTGGGTAAATAGAATCTACACCGACGAAACGATTTCTAAATATAAACAAAAATAATTATTATTTACCATACGTTATTTATTATCTACAGAAAAATATACCTATTTATGTATATATAGCATTATTTAATTACCAATTTAATAACATGATGAGCGATAAGTTTTTTGTTATTACACTAAAAATACCGGCGACAAAAAAATATTTTTTTACTGATATTCTAAGAAAGTGACGGAACGGTCTTCCTAATAGGATGTTGTGTTGGTTAGGTGTTACCGGAAACTGTACCAGTTCGATGGCTTTGAGCAATTTATACACCGTTTTTTTTTATCTTAAAAGCTCTTATCAACAGACATCGATCCGCTTTCATAAGATATCTGTGTGATTATGTTTCATTTTATTACATAGTTTGTAGTTGACTAAAGTAAATCAAATTAATGTCTTTCTACAATCAATATAGCTGCATCTCATTTTATATGTTAATCTATACATATAATAAAATTGTAACTGAGCCGAATCTGTACAATAGATATTTTTTGGAAAATCTTATTGAAATAAACATAAAAATCTATAGGTTTTAAAATTTTTGTCTGTCTGTCTGTTACCGCGTCATAGGAAAACCACTGGAGGGATTTTGGTGAATGGTATGGTGATAGCTGGTTATCCGGGTCAACACATAGGATACTTTTTACCGCGAGAAAATATCTCATTTCTGAGAAAAAATACAAAAATTGCAAAGTGAGAGTATACTAATATGTAAAACCTAAGAATTTGATTTTTGGTCATCTGAACGCGTGCGGAACCGCGAGCAACGCTAGTCTATATAATATAATTTGTAAAAAATCCTAGGATCTTTTCAAAAGAGACGACTTTAATAAACCACTTCTGTCTTACCACTTAGATTTCTATAAAAGACTGATCTAATTATAGACTGAAGAGGATTTAGTTGTAAGTAGCATGAGCTATTCTTCGTATAAAAACGTTAAAAAAGGCATAAAAGTGAATTTGATCATGAGTTTTTGTTATTTTGGGAAAAATTGTATTAACTGAGTACCTACTTATAATAATATATGCATAGTAAATTCGTTTTTTATATATATATATATATATATATATATATATATATATATATATATATATGTATATATATTACTTATTATTTTACGAATCAGAACCTATAGGTATTATAAAAATAGGTAATAGAATATATAGTGCTCTTTAAGAATACTACCAAAAGCAAAAGATACATAAAAATAAATGTACAACATTACAGCCTAAACCTCTTTTATTTGTTCTACGTTAAAATAACTTAGTTATTTAAATAAACAACACTACTAAAAGAAACTTTTGTACTAAAATAATTGGGTGTCGCAATTGCTTCCAATGTTTATCGTTTTTTTTTATTGTTTTTATTTAAGCGTGTCCCAAAACATTAATAAGTTTAAGTACAGTGAGAATTAGTATTCAGTCGATTGCCCGATACCTATGTAATTTTAAAGAAGTAATAAAAATAAATACCTTTTTAAATAAATTCTTAGTAAAACAGTTACTTTTTAATCAGTTAACATTCTTTTTGTTTTGGTAACAGATTTACATATTATTTTCAGGTATTGATACCTTAAGGTAAATTTCTAAGAAGTTATTTTTTTTAAGAAATCTATTGTTAACTGAAACGCCGGCGGTCGTTGAGGGATTAATGTAAGATATAGGTATACTATTTAAAAATATGAAAGTCTGTATGCTGTTTGCTATTAGTTTCCTAAAGAATTTATAAATTCTTTAATCGTGTATAATGTAATAAATAATTTAATCAAGAACACACTCTATATTGTTTTTAAAATGGTATAGGTACTAATAAATAATCTAAGTTAATTTTATTTTTTGTTGCAGAAACACCTTAAGTAATGAGCAGACGACAATAAAGAAAACAAAAATGAATCTCCAAACAATTGTAATATTAAGCGCCTTCTTCCTGTGTGATGCGAAAATGCCCAGATATAAACAACCAAATGAATTACCAACGAACTCACAGAACTCGCAATCATTACGATTATTACAAGCCGAAAACAAAAACGAGAAAACTAGCCGAATAATCGATCAGTATAGAACGAGACATAGGAGAGAATCTTTTGACTCGAAATCGTACGAGTCTGGCTTAATATGGACACACACAGAGCGGCTAGATGAAAACGGTGACGTAATTTTACGTTGGGTGAATACAGATTCTAGCATAACATTCAGATTGGAGGCGAGAACACGTGGTTATGCCGCCTTAGGATTCAATTCAGTGGGGAATATGAGAGGGGCTGATATGGTAGTCGCTTGGGTGGACGACAGACGCGGGAACGCTCAGATTTTGGTGAGTGCACCTGTTGTTTTGTTCTCACGATATCCGGTTTTCTTCGTGGGGGTCTAAAATATAATACGAGAAACGTCTTTCTATTTCAATTAAAGTATGCTTATGAATTTTGTTTAGGTGAAATTTTTAGTGTATTATTTACTCATGATCTGTCCTGGTTTCTCTCAAACGTCTCTATCTATACAATCTTTTTAGCCGACTTCAAAAAAAGTTAAATTTCTAAACAAAATTGGAATTACTTTTAAGTAATTTTAAAGGTAACTTTCTTTTATTAATGAACTTTTAGATCTCTGTACTAAAACTATGATAATCTAATATTTCGTTAACAGCAGGTAAACTCGTGACCATTTGCATTATTTAAATTAGTAAGGTTTTGGTTATCGAATTACGTAATTGCTATTCGCAATAATTTTCGTGTGGAATATATTTCAATTATATCATACGGCGGAATGTGGGTATGTTTACGGAAATGGAATCCACACAGTTTATAATACGGCTATAATTTACTGATTCTCATTTCAGTATCTACTGAATTTTGTTAAGTAATTTTACGTTTATTATTGTAATTGAAAATAATGGGATAAAATATTTTGTGCCAAACAATATATTATTCTATTTATGTAAAATGACCACTCGTTCGGATGCTAGCGTTATGTTATATATCCTATTTTATTTTTTAATCGAAATTGATAATTTTATTTTAAAAGACTTTTTTATTTAAAAAAAATAACAAACTGTTCATCTTCCTTAGTATATATAGATAAGTATAATTCACTGTAACATGCCAATTAATGTATATTAAGGTAGCAACATACGTAACGTTGATGGTCTGAACATTTAGTACAAATGTAAACCAATATATATATATATATATATATATATATATATATATATATATATATAAGTGCTCTAGCACGCTTGTGCATATTTACTCATAGATGTGTATCTACCTTTATACTCTACTTATTATTGAATCAAAAATTGCAATCAAATATCCTATGAAACTTAATGATGGCGTAAAATTTTAAGCTCTCATATTTAATCCTATTTATTATAGGCTTACTCAATTAACATATAACGTGTCACCCCTTGCCTTAACACGTTTTTCATTGTCATTTTATAGGTAATAATGATATTGTACCCTCTAAACGCTCAGTTTGATAAATAGCGGTCGTCCTGTAATTTATATCCACAACCCGCATATAATATAAAGCTTATTGATACCTATATCTTTTTCTTGTCCTTACAAATATTGTTAATACGAAGTTATGTTTGTTTGTTACTTTTTAAAGGCTTAGCAGGTGCTGATATGTACATCGCGAAATGTTATTTTATATTTAAATAAACATCTGCCAGGATATTGTTGACTCTAGAAAAAACAAGAACCTTTGCGTATAGGGGTAATATTATTTATTAAAATTCAGTTAGACTATGGAAAATATTTTTAAATGTTGGGCATAAATTCCTATTATTGCTAAGTAATGCGAGTCAATATTACGATAGTAAGAAATCCGGTAAAGGTCCTCTTTGTATGTAACACACTAGATTTAGATACAAATATGTATTTGTTATGCATTAATTTGACGACACGTTTGGCTCAGTTTGTAGTGACCCTACTTGCTGTGCCAGCGGTCGCGGGTTCGAGTCCCGCTGGGGGCATTCATTTGTGTAATGACGAATGTTTGTACTCCAGTCATGGGTGTTTATATTTATAATATGTATGAATTTAAAGTTATATATGTGTAGTGTATCAACTATCTGGTATCCATAACACAAGCCTCGTAGCTTACCATGGAACTAGATGGCGCTGTGTGTTAATGTCCCAACATATTATTATATTATTATTATTAATTTAGTATTTTTTCAAAAAAAGTTAGACGGTTTTAATAGTTTAAAATCATCGAATAAGAAAATGCTTTATTCGAAATCTTTTATCTAAGTATATTGACTTGAAAAATAATATGTAAAACATCTCACGTACAATTCGATTTATGTAAAATGTTTTTTAGAACTTAAAGTAATCGTCTTCGGTTTTAAGAAGGCATGTGTGTGCAAAATTTATAATCTATACATATAATAAAAGTGTAACTGATCGCTGTCTGTATATGGAAGATGTTTGAGAAAAACTATTATTGGGGGCCTTTATTAATGCAATATAACCCAAAACAATGATTTTAAGAATTTTTGTCTCTTTGTCTGTGCGTTTGTGCGCGCGAATCTCAGAAACGGCTTAACCGATTTGGATGCGGTTTTTACTAATGTATTGTGATAATCTTCACTCAACATTTAGTATTGTGTTATTTCAATCGGTTCATCAATAAAAAGTTATCTCAATTTAAAGAATCGCCTAGGCCGAGCGAAGCCAGGATGAGTCGCTAGTACCTATTTATCTACTATGTCTATTTATAAAACGTCATTGCATATTCAAAACTATATTAGAATAAAGAGAATTTGACGACACGTTTGGCTCAGTGTGTAGTGACCCTACTTGCTGAGCCAACGGTCGCGGGTTCGAATCCCGCTGGGGGCATTCATTTGTGTTTTGAGCACGAATGTTTGTATTCCAGTCATGGGTGTTTATATTTATAATATGTATGTATTTAAAGTTATATATGTGTAGCGTATCAACTATCTGGTATCCATAACACAGGCCTCTTCGCTTACCATGGAACTAGATGGTGTTATGTGTTAATGTCCCAGCAAAAAAAAGTGTTTAAATTTTTCCTCGTTAAAATAAATGATATTTTCATATTTATCGTTTTCAAGACATACTGCACAGGTACCTACCTAATTAAAAAATGATAGTAGAATGTGATTAAATTGGCTGCTTACTATATATTTTTACGGTTAGTTGGTATTGAGATGAAGTAGTAACAAACAAACACATAAAAAAACTTTAGCATTTACCATTTAATAGGATAAAAGCAATAAATACTTTTTACCGACGCAAATAATACCTATAACCAAACTGCAAACAGTTTCTTTAGATTTACTCATCATGCTCTACTTGAACTAAAATAATTAAACAACTGAAGTTTGATTTTTAACCGACTTCCAAAAAGGAGGAGGTTCTCAATTCGTCGGAATCTTTTTTTTATGTATATTCACCGATTACTCGAAGATGCTTGAACCGATTTGGAATTTTTTTTTGTTTCAAAGGGTATACTTCCCATATAAATTTTATCGAAATCGGTCGAGCGGTTTTAAAAAAAATCAACTATAAATATTTTTTTAAATAAATTATTTAATGGAATATGTTATTAAAAAACTTTCTTCTTACAAATTACCTGCATATTACGTCTACACTAAAAATGAAAAAATAACAAACAATAAAAACCGACTTCCAGGCCCTAAACTGTAAAAAATTACTAAACGGAGGTTTTCATTTAGAATAGATACCTAATCAGATATTTTCGAAGTCGGTGCCAGCCGACAATATTTTAAGATATGAATATCTAATCGCTAAATATTTATTTTACGTATCGAAATATATTAGATTTGCTTTGCATCGGCTGGCACCGACTTCGAAAATATCTGATTAGGTATCTATTCTAAATGAAAACCTCCGTTTAGTTATTTTTTACATTTTAGTGCCTGGAAGTAGGTTCTTATTTTTTGTTAAAAAGTTTTTACAAGTGCAAAATATATTAATTAGTATCTAAAATTAAAATAGTCTAGCTTATATAAGGTTTATCTTATTTCTATTCTCAGAATCTAACAAGATATTCACTTACCATATAAAATATTAGTAAATTCTAAACTTTATTTATTTAGAAATAGAGTATGTATTGTATGGAAATTTCATTTATATGAGAGACAATAGCTGGGCTGTGGCTTGTGATTGCTGTCAACGTCCTAGGTATCGAAGCGTGACGGTTGCCACCATCATCTTAACTGTCTCTTTTGTGTACTATTTCTACTTCTTGCATGGATTTCAAACAAGATCTAGCTATACTTAAAATATAGCTAGATCTCTACGTAAAATCGTTTTTACGTATTTAATCTTAGCTATATCGTCTTCGTATTCTACATCTACTGAGGGATAGAATAGCTTTCTATTAATAAAGGATTGTTAAAATCGATTCAGTTGTCCATAAGGTTTTTGTTTACATTCAATAAAATTTACCTTTTTATAATAGTTTATAAGTTACAAAATGTTTGGGTTTTTGAGAAATCTCATTTTAAAAAGTTAAGATTTTTTTTTAATAAATAACTTTACTACATGTTATTCATTTTGACTTCCAATTAACTTTATGGTTAACGTAAAAATATATCGATACACCCAATAATAAAACATGTTTGTCCATACTAATCTATACTAATATATATAAATGGCAAAGTAACTCTGTCTGACTGTCCGTCTATCTGTCTGTTACCTTTTCACACTTAATCAGCTGAACCGATTTAGACGAAATTTGGTATGGAAATAGTTTAAGACCCCGGGAAGGACATGGGATAGTTTTTACTCCGGAAATCATCTCTTAAGAGGGTGGAACTTTGTATGGGGGAATCAATCATTTCTCAAGTAAGGGATATAAAACTCATCATCTTCTCTATGTATTCCATAGTAACTGTCATAAGGCATTCAGGGGCGAACTAGAGCGAAGCGAGGGTGAGTCGCTAGTATACCTACTGTATTTTAAATGGCAAATGGACATTAGTGTTAAGACATTGCAAGTAACGTGAAGAGATATCACACATTTTTACAAGCTTCATAAGCTAAAACCTTTGTTGTAGTAGGATTCAATCCAGTTTTTTTCATAAGATGCTCTATCACTTCGACAGATATAGCTCTGATGTGATTACACGAATAATGAAATACCTGTACTAAATTTAACTGTTAATCAAATTCGAAACATTCGTAATAAAGTTGTTTGTTGTTTATTGCAAACATTCTTTAACAAGTTAGAAGCCAAACTTTGGATGGATCTATATTGTCTTAAATTATGATCATGATTATAAGCAACATACTTGAGGGAAAACATTTCCAAGAATTAATC